CGAAAAGAAATTTATACTCTCTGCTGTTCACACAACATTTCCTCTCATCTTTACACCTTAATAAGGAAGAAAAATACTTTAGTCATTTCCTGCAGTGTTAGAATGAGATCTTTCGAAGAAAGATAACATGTCAAGAACTTTTTGTATTTCTTTTTCTTACTGATGGAGGTCTGGCTTCATGATGGCTTTGCTTTATCTGTGTCAATCTGGTATTCCTCTCTTGTGTTACTTACATAGGCCCAAGAAGTTTCCAATCCTCTCTGCCTACTTGGCCAACCCTCCAGTGCTGATGCCACCAAAGGGTGATAAGCCCTTGAAGTTGTACATAGCTGTAGCAGAAGATTCATTGGGAGTTTTCTTAGCCCAAGACAATGAAGAAGGTAAGGAGCAAGCTGTTTATTACCTTAGTAGGTTTTTAAATTCTTGTGAATGTAAATACTCAGCTGTAGAAAAGCTGTGCCTTGCATTGTATTTTACTGCAATGAAATTAAGATACTATCTTTTGCCTACAACTGTCTTGGTAATTGCAACCACAGATTTGGTTAAGTATATGTTATCTAGACCAATGTTGATGGGAAGAATTGGCAAATGGGTATTAGCCTTATCAGAATTTCATTTAGAATATGTTTCCCAAAAGACAGTGAAATGACAAGTTTTAGCCAATTTTTTGGCAGACCATCCATCTCAAACAGAAAGTCAAGAGATAATGGAACTTGGTACGGCTAGTGTTGAGCCATGGCAAATGTGGTTTGATGGATCGAAAGCCAATGGCCTAACTGGAATTGGTATAGTGATTAAGTCACCACAAGGAATAGAAACCACACATGGTTTTGGAGTGGATGAAATTACTTGTTCTAATAATCAAGCTGAATATGAAGTCTTAATAGTGGGATTGGAAATTCTTATTGGATTATAAGTTCATGCAGTTGACATATTTGGAGATTCTCAATTGGTGGTTAACCAAGTGAAAGGGATTTTCAAATGTCAAAGTATAAGCATGTTGTCATACTATGTTGTTGCATTACATCTGCTTTCTCAATTTTAACTAGGAAATGTAACTCATGTCCCAAGATTCTTGAATAATAGAGCTAATGATGTGGCTCAGAAATTTTCAAATTTCAAGAGAAGGGATAATACTCAAAGGGACATAAGCCAAACAACATACCAGAAATCAATACCACCTTTAAATAAAAGGAATGTGGTCCTGGAAGTCAATCATAATGACTTACAGGAACAAGATTGGAGGCATCCAATAATGCAGTACTTGGCTGGCCTATCTTCAAAGGCCAGCAGAAAATTTAAATTGCAATCTATGCAATACATCATATACGATAATGCTCTCTACAAAAGAGGGGGAGATGGTTTATTGCTGGAATGTTTAGGCCTAAAAGAAGCTTTAACAGCTATGGCTGAGGTTCATGAAGGTATCTGTGGTGCTCACCAGCCGGGTGTGAAGATAAGGTGGTTGCTTCGAAGGCATTCCTATTATTGGCCAACTATCCTTAAAAACTGCATAGAATATGCAACGGGTTGCCAGGCATGTCAAAAGCATGGCACAATCAGGCATGTGCCCATAACTGACCTGTATGCGGTAGTAAAGCCTTGGCTATTT